GGCGAGATTGAAAATACAATCCAACCTGGATTAAATAGTCTTTTGGAAGGCAAGACTCATTAAGATTAAATAGCATCCTGAAGCCCATGCATCTGGTTGTGTGTAAAAAAGCAATTTTCAGTGATTTAATTACATTTGGCAAACTACACTAAGGTCTCATTCAAGAATTACTGGTAGTCACGACCCCCACTTGTGTCGTAAATATGCCGCCAAGCTGAGATGCAATTGGCCTCCCCACCTAATTTGTATGTATTACTCTAGAATGTGTATCGGCCATAGTACTCAAGTAGCAATGCACTACTCATATCCGAATTTAGTAGTACGTAGAGTCTACCAGTAGGTCCTTTTTAAGAACTTTAATCCGCCTGGTAGTGAATTTGCCAATAATGAGATGCGTAAATCTTAAGATTCAATGTAATCTTAGTTAACATTTCTTCCAACATGTATTCTAACCCCGACTTGAGTAAATTTCGATTTCGATCTCGCCCAGGTCTCATCAACATCCCCCATCGAACCCTGGTTGCGATAGCGCCGTTTAGGACTTAGACATGGTTCCTCTAAGCCAGACTGCAGTAAATTGTATTGGGATTGTCACTGTGGCAAACATGTATTTGCCATTAATTTCGTCAATGATACTCATATTCGAATTAATAAGGATTTTGAGAATATTAGTAGATCTTGAATATAAGCTTTAATCGCGTGAATGTGATGAAGGACTAGTAGTGAATGTTCTCCCATTAAGCTGAATATGCCCTATGATTCATACTTGCATAAACTGCAATGAGCATACACAAATAGCAAAACATGGCATTGTTAACTATGCATAAAATGATCACACATGCAAATAGCATATTTCTTCTGAGGCAGGATGGCATCAACAAATCGGGGTCGTCAAGATGTAACGCCATAGGTTTATTTGCCTCTTCACTTAATTTGCATTTTTATTCTCAAAAACTATTGTCGGCCATATTACCCCATATTAATCCTCTCAACCTCTAATTGCAGTGAGTTGCATGCATCGATAGGCCATCGTGTGTATATACGAAGAGAAACGGGGTTTCGATGAGTCTCCTGGCGACTTGCATTTCATATGAAAGTCCCCACAACATCGTGTGTATGCCATTAATGAGGATAGGTAATTCAGTATTTTTGTTTGCTGTGATTAGCTGCAGACATAGTCTGCCATAGATACAAGAGTCTCGAGTGAAGATGCGAATTATGAGAGATCTGTTTTGCCCCGAACTCTTCTCCTGTCTTGTCACTGTTGTGGGGTGGGCCAGTATTTTGCCCATTGACAGTTGGAGTCCCTTCGGGGTGCCAAGGCGATTAGACGAAGTCAAAACTGTGCTATCTACCTTCCACCATTCCGTGTGGATAGAACTTTGCTCCGCTCCTCTAAGGCCGAAAGCCCCCTTCTATCTTCTAGAAGGCATCCGAGCCGTGGCTACTGATGAGCATAAAAGTAATACCATCCAAGACAGTAAAACCGTTGAAGGAGTTCAACGGAATCAAATTCTGCGTTTCAGGCTACACATTTTCTTATGGGAATGCACCGGTTTTCCCAAGACCAGCTTCATTTCCGTTTATCCAGTACAGACCAGCAGCACATTGGGGACCAGATGAATTTAGTATGCTATAGCCTCTGGGCGGGTAGTCAGACTCTTGAACAGATTGTATCATGTATTAACTCTTGTTCGAGCAGGGTGTGCGAAAGGTTAATGGTTTAATGAGACGCATCTTTACGTTTTGAAGGAAAAGTTGATTAAAAGGGATTCGAGAATTAACCCTATTGGAAATTGTAGAAAAAGCTTTGAAATCAAGCATCCTTTCTTTTGGCTTAGAATG